CGGGCTGTGTTGGCCCTACGACAGTCCGGTCCAGTTTGTGCGGGACAACCTGCAGCTGAGTGATGATGGGCTGGTGGCCTTGGACTGGGCAGTGCCAGCCTACCAGAAACGACGCAGGACTTCCAGTCACTCCACCAGTCCAGTTCTTCTCATTATCCCGAACCATTTGGGCAAGATCACTAGAAATGTGTTAAAGGTAATCTGTGGCTTCCTTCACAGGCTTCACTGTATAAAATAACCAAATTACAGAGATGATAGCCAGAGACAGATCATTGTCATGCATGAACATAAAATTATACCAAAGATCAATTAAGATCCTAAAGACTTAATTTATTTTTAATGCTGATTGTTGAACAGAATGGGTAGCCCATCCTTAGTAACTGGCTACAAAATAAATAAAATTGACAAACATGAACCTAAAAGAATGAAAACGTGTTACCATTGTATCTAAGAGCACCACAGTGCAGTTTCTGAATCATTATATTTGATAGAAAACCATTTGTCTTCATTTCTGTGATAAAGGTCAGGATGTTCTCATTAGATGCATTGAAGTTGTATGATGAACCTTGTAGCTGCTCTGTGTCTCTCATTTGTGTTCAACATATAGTCAATATGATGCATGAGCCTGCATTGAGATATATACAGTACAGGATGCTGTTATTTTTCAATGTGCATGTATGCACTTAAAATAGAATACAAATTAATAGCCATATAGTGCATTAAAACATTTTTCACAAGGTAGAAATCTACACAATACATACTAAATACATGGACACAATTACTATTTGTAAAGAAATTTGAAAGAGAATCTTGTCAAAAGAGAAGTCAGCTGTTCAATTTAAAGGAGATGTGGAAAGATGCAAATCAACAATGACCATTTGGCCAAAGGAAATCACTTGAGCTGAAGCCATGGCAAGCTTGGTCAGAAGAAAAAAGCTGTGTCGTAAAAAGAGCAGATGTGAAGGCAGCAGCAGTCTTTTGACTGCTCTTTCACTACACTGACTAAGGTAATTGAGCAAGGGATTACAAAGCATCGCTTGACTTGAGGGGCCTGGGGAAGTGCAGAACTGCTCCACATGAATGCCAATTGGCTCCCGCAGCACTCCGAGCACCTGCATCGTGCATAGCGTGTGCACATCCGTCACAGGCTTACTGTCAGCCCCATGTCAGAAATAGCAGCTCTGCCAGAACTGGATATCCTAACAAAACCAAATGTGTTTGACATTAATCTAGAGTGAATAACTTGCATGTCGGTCTAGAAAAAATGATAGAGGACAACAGAAGAGAGAAGAAATGCTAAGAAACAAAAACAGAATAGTGTTGAGCCATTAGAAATATGTGGTGACTTAAATCTTTTCCACGGGGAAAAGCAAAATGATAGAGAGATGAAAGGTAATTGTCACATTCAGGCAGATCTGTGCCACATGCTTTTTCATCATCAGAGAGTATATGTGATGCTCTCACCTGGTTATGCCTGGGAGGTTTGGAAGCCGAGGCACCACAAGGGATATACACCAATTAAAATTGCTCCTGTCACTGGTTATATTCACTGTGCATAAACTAGTCTGTGTGTGTGAGAGAGATAGAGATAAAAAAAAGAGCTGTGGCTTTATATTTGTGACACGGAGAAGAAGCAGAGAGGCAAATGTTAATTCTTTTTGGAGTGGGTGGGCTTCTGGTTCTTGTCCTCTTCTCTTTCATACAGCATGTTTATGAAACTCAGGACCATATGAATGGGCCATCACCTCTAAAATCATTAAACATTTCTTTATAATTATTTATATATGTTTCAGTCAGACAGTTAGCTACTTAGTTAATTAGTTCATTAAATCAGTGTTAAGTGAATTGTGTTTACCAAAAATACATTGATCTCTCTGTTTAGTGCTTTTTGCTGTTATCTCACCTCAACTAAACAATATTTCTTAAAGCTTAGCTGCACATTTAGGATAATAGGGCTATAGTCCAATGAGAGGAGTAATAGCCTACTGCTCCCATATCTGTGAGGTAAACATGAAGATGCTGCCGGCAGCTAGTTAGCTTAGTTAAAAGACTGGACACAGGAGGAAACATTGTTATAAAAACCATCTACTTGGCACTCACCTGTTAACTTCTTCTATCTAAATTACATATTGTGGTTTTAGACAGGAGGTGTGTGCCGGAATATTTTTGGCCTGACACAGTGTCTTGTTGTCTTGTCGTCACCTACTCTGCCTGACCAAGAAATAGTCTGGCACATAACTTCTCATGAAATCAAAGCAATGCAGTTGGAGTGCTATCAGTAAACTCATAACATTTGTCATGAATTTAAAGAACAATGCCCGTTCTGTCTAAATGACCACCACCCCCTCTCCATCTGATGTCAGCCATCGACAAATTCAATTTTTAAACTGACTTCAAAAATAGGTTACACAAAGAGGCCAGTTTAATATGTCAAAGGTGTGTGAAGAAATGTGGGAATGAGCTCAACTGTAAACAGACATATTGCAGCTATTTTGCCTCCTGTGATTAGCACCCATCACATTTTCCTGACAGCAGATTGATTTGTGGGCTGTTTTACCATAATTTCATTACATAGTTACAGTAAGTGCTCTGTGTTTTATTCAGTAAGCTTTTGGCACTCACTTGTAATGCAAGTACTTTATTTAAAAGGGGTCTGATATAATCTGGTCATTATGTGTAATCTAACCTTCAGCACTTTAATAATTGTTTCTCAGACCTTTATTTCATTTTCAGATCACTGAGAGAGCAGCATTGGAATTTTCCAAATTTCTTGTAGCCAAACAGTGCACACAGAGTGCAGTGTGTACGATTGAGACATTGACCTTAATTATTTGATGTTCTCTGTTGGCTATTTAACAAGCTGATATTCAGCTTTAGTTTGAACAGGTTGCATTCGGAGTGAACAGGAGGGGCAGAATCATGCATGCAGGAACATTTTTTCATTAGGAGGCACTACGTGGAATACGTGCACGCACATGGCTGATTTTGTGTGTGAGCATGCAAATGTTTATTTTAATAAATTTGTATGGAAATAATGTACATTTTTACATACAGAAAATGAAAGTGCAGTCCAAATTCTGTCGAGCTTTTCACATGCTACATGTTTGAATGTTTGCTAAAATTATTGTTTAAGACTAATTCAGATTTGTATGAATGACATAAACGTTATTATGGTTATTCTTATTCACGTTCTCATTTACAACATTTAGCTCAACCGAACCCAACAAAATGATTAGCATGTAATTAACTCACAGCATGATGAGAAGCCTTCGTGGTTTACTTCTAAAGACTTGAAGGCCTCCTCATCCCTGTCTCCCCTGAGCCCAGTGGTTCCAACACAGGCAGAGGCAGTGGCCTGCTGATGCTAACAATCCCCTGCTGCTCTCTCTTGCAGTGACTGGCTCTGCTGTGATGTTATTGCTAACGTTTGCAGTTGTATCTAATTCGGCTTCTGTATTAGCAATGTTGTTTTCCTCTATGTTCTCAGAAATGTTATTATTGGTAGCATTTTGGTCTTATTTGTAATAATAACATTACTTGGAACAAAAATCGGATATTCATTGCGTACCATTGTTACTTGTAACTGTGGAAAGCTTCCCTGAGGAGTTTTCTCAACTAAACATTTCCTAAATAAATAAACCACTCTCTACAATGTAAACAATTATTGTATTTTAAATTCTAAATGTTTTTTTGCTGAGTATAAGATGCTACCACCTGGAACTACCACTAGAGGGTGCTGCAGCACCCCCCATCCCGCAACTATTGGTACAAATGTCGGCAAAATGCGAATTTGTACTCATACAGCACCGGTGCCTTGGCCTACTTACTGTAGGATATGCAATCTGTGCATCAGAATCTTGCTGTATTTCTGTGTGTGACTCAAGGGGGGTGCTGTTTTTCTTAGCTAAAATTAAAAGGGATCACAATTGTGCATACCAGAACACTATATGGATAGAAAGCCCTAGCGTTTCAATTTGACAGTAGGGCCAATGCTACAGTCTATGACAAAACCCATTTTTAATGGAGATTTGTGGAACAGGAGTTAGATTGAAAAAAATGGTTGAAAGTTCAGTTGTTTATATTTTTTTACTGTGGCATTATCTTCAGTAATTTAGAGCTACTCTTCTCTTTGAAACTATTGCAGGTCTGTGAAGCATAACACTTCAAAATTCAGCCAGAGGAATAATTTGTATTCTCCTGAAGTCCACCAAAATGTTGGTCCTTGTAAGACTTCACAGTACTCCTCATCGAGGGTATCATAATCTTTTAAAACAGGTTAATAGATTCAAGAAAAAGAAAAACTTTAGTTAGGGTTCATACAATCAGGTGGTCAGAAAACTGTCAACCTTTTAAATATAAAGATGGCGGTCATGACTTTTATTACATAACAAGTACAATAACTTTAAATATAGAATTTAAAAATGTGTTTGAACTATCAGGAAGTTTCACACTTCATTTAACAACAGAGCACTGAAATGATTAAAAGAAAGCTACTGTAAATGTGATGTTGGATGTATTGGCACAGTAGAACAGTGCCAATACATCGCGTTGTACAATACATTTAAACGAAAAATCACACCGCAAAATAGTCACTTACTTCTAAAATGGTGTCTCAGCTCCTGAGTACATCTAGTCCCTAGATGTGTACCCTGTCACAGGCCTGTTGAAGGCAAAGAGCTGCCCTGATCTGAGGACAGAGCATTCTGGTGAGACACGTTCTTGCCTCTGAAAGGCTTTTAACTGAATAACATCATTAATTTGATTTGTGGCAACATGTCCCGATACAGCTGCTGAAGTTTGTTTGACATTAGAGGCTGTCTCACAGAAATAAATAACATTATTTAATAGGCTATAAAGGGATTACTGCTGTATGTGTTTCATTGCTTCTGAGGGAGAGGAGTGCTGCATCTTTAGTGTGTGTTTGTATGATATGGACAGCATGCATGAGAGAGCTGACATGTTGTCCAGTGGCTGGAGGAATTTGCCACTCAGCTGACAGTTTGTCAGCTCAAACAGAAAACTGCTGGAGTAACTGACGTTTGATATTACAGTTTCAAAACCAAATGCACACTGTAGAAACTGGGTGTGTGCTAATGTGATCTGAATTAGATCTAGATCGCATGATTCCTCTAAACTGTGCCTGTGCAGGTGACATCTGTTTACTAATTTATTAGGTTGTCCAAAAAATATCCTTGACTGGTCATGAATCGTTTTCAGACAAAGGGTCAGTTTTGGTGACTAAGACAGAGTAGATATAGATTCATAATATCTTTTGCTGTAGTGAATTCCTCCTGACGAGGTAAGTTTCATTTTACGGTCTGTTATTTCATTTATTTGCATCCTCAAGGCGTGCTTAAAGCGGTTGTTACTCATTGTGCCTGTTATGGTGGGTGATGGGTCATCCATATTATCACTATACTGTCAGATGATAATTTATGTGCATGGTCATACAAGAGCGGGAAAGCATAACCGGGACAGATTCAGTTCATCTGATTTAATCTCAGCCACCCAATCGAGATCCCAGCCAACATTCATCACTCAGTTCACACACGTTCAGCTAAGAAATATGTAAATGTGTATCTCAAGATCTTTGGGAGTTCAGCTGAATTCAAGTGATTTATGCTCATTTGAAATTGTTCTTCCCTTAAGTAACAGTGACTCGAGATGCCATTTATGACGGGAGTTGGTGAAGAGGCTACAGAATGACTGAGTGAATGAATGCCGTTCTGGCATATTAGTTCTGCTCAGAGCTGTTTTAACACTGCCTAGTTCTGTGTCTGGCTGAGTAATTAATCTTTATGCATAGAAAACAAGAATTTGCACAAAAAAGCTACTGCAGTCTTTCTCAACTGGCAAAAATCTAATAGAGCAATTCTGCAGCACAAAAGTACACACATTTGTTACTCAGTAGAAGTACAGATACCTGTGTAAAAAAAAGTCAGACGTCAGACTATTCAACAGAGAACTATATAATACATTTTGATCAGCATGGCATAAGAAACTGATCATGGAAAACACAACAAAGAGTTGTACATAATCACTTGCGTGAATGGGCCAAAGAATTAGCAGCTTGTTAAAAACTATAAGAAATTGCTTATATGAGGTGTACAAGTGACTGGATGGAGGTTGAAAAAGTAGATTTGAGAATTTCAGTTCTGATCTGAGTAATGCTCCAAAGTGACCGAGAAAAACTGTAATTCAAAAGAGCTAAAATCTAGAATTGCCCAACAAATCTTCCATATTGCTCCTAATTCATAACACTTACACATCTTTGAAGACACAAGAATATTCTGCTATTTATTTTTCTATTCCCTCTCTGTACAGCTATGTGAAATGGCACTGTCCGATGGCTACCTTCCAGCAGTTTTCAATCGCCGCAGCCACAACAGCACCCCACTCACCACCCTCAAACTGCAGCAGTTTGGCGACCCTGCTGATCTGCGCGAGGCTGTGCGCTACATTCGCTACCGGCAGCCTGCAGGAAAACTGTATGCAGTGAGCGAGAGCACTGGGTCAGGCCTTCTCCTGTCTTATCTGGGGGAGTGTGGATCTTCGAGCTACATGACGGCAGCCGTCTGTCTGTCACCCGTGTTTCGCTGCCAGGGCTGGTTTGACAACGGCCTGTGCCGGGCCCTGCAGTGGGCATTGGTGCTGTACCAGAAGATATGTCTGAGCAGGTATGGAAGGAGGGTGTAAAACTGAAGAGGGGGGGAAACATGTAAACTTGAATCAGTTACCTTTTCAGGAACAGGTGGGCAAAGTGGATATAATAGCTGGGAACATCAACCTTAACTTTAAGAACCAGATCAGCTCAGTGGTAAGAACCAGTTTCTTTCAGTTAAGAATTGTATCAAAAGTGAAATCTTTTTTATCTTTTGGAGATTTCCAGAAAGGCACCCTCATTAGTTCAAGGCTGGATTATTGTAGTGCCCTGTATACTGGTATCAGTCAAGCCTCCCATTCTTTCCTCACTACACTGGCTCCCAGTCGTTACAGGATTTAACTTAGTATTGTTTGTTTTTAAAGCTTTAAATGGTCAGGCAATGTCATACCTTTCTGAGCTTTTAAATTATCTTAACCAAGCAAGATTTATAAGATCCTCAAACCAGCATCTCCTGGAGATCCCCAGGTTGAAGTTATATTTGCTCCTAAACTCTGGAATGCCTTACCTATAAATATTAGATCAGCATCAGATCTAGGAGCTTTTAAATCATTGTTACTCAGGCTTTTACATCATAACCTAATGGAGACACATTTGCTGTATGTTTTTCTTGATTTCTTGCCATGTTCTATTGTGTGGACTTTTTTGAGTGTTTGTTATAATTTATTGTGTGGTTTTAACCTTGTGTGATGGTTTTTCAGCTATGTGCTGCCATTTTTTGTGTAATCTTGCAACGTTTTTTCTGTGTGACATTAGCTATGTGCCATTATGGTCATTTTGAGAAGCACTTTGGTACAACTTTTGTTTTTAAATGAGCTATATAAATTTTGATTTAATTAGATTTTGATTTGAATAAAATATCATGTGAAGAAGAAAACAGAAAACCCCTGCTATTGCCTTTAAAGGCTAATTCTTGATTATTTACTGCTTGGACCTTATACTCTTAATTTCAACCATCAACCTGTTGAACCAGTTGGTAGTTCCAACAATACAGTATATCATTTAAGAGAAGGCCATGTGATGTAGTTCCAACAATATATCATTTAAGAGAAGGCCATGTGATACAAGACAGTTTTAAGAATAGATAAAGGAGGGCACTGAGTTTCACAGCCAAGGGGCTCAAATCTGGTCACCTTAGCTGCCAAGATGAGACTGTGGAACCATTAAGTAAGGCGCTGCCAAAGGAACTCATAGGGAGTGAGCATATCACAGATAAAAGCAGGAGCCTGACCATTCAAAGCCTTCTGATGTAAATGAGCAGTAAAATCTTAAAATCAATCCTAAAACTCACTTAAGGGCAGCAAGGCCTGGTTCCCTTTGATCATGTTAAAAGCCTGACAGCAGTGTTTGGTAGAGCTCTAGTCTCTGAATGTTTCACCCTCTGATACCAGAATAGAGAGCACTGAAGTGGCGCAAAACGGGAGCACAGCGACATTGCTGCAGTAAGACAAGACAAAAAGAACAAGCTGTCATGGTATCTGACAGCTAGTACAAGAATAAGTCAACTTTCAAGTCAGATTGAAAAAACCTTAGAAAAAGTCAACTGGACTTAGATTTCTAGACCGAAGATCTAGATCAAAGAATATCTCCGGCTCAACACCAGTCAGTCAGAACTGATGAAGCCTCTTGGATGAGAGGTGAAATGTCTTCGATCTAGAAATTTAAGTCCAGTTGATTTTTTCTAAGGTTTTTTCAGTTTACTATGACCTGGGTGACTGAGAATCTGCACAGACATTTCAAGTCAGATTTAGCCAAAGTAGAGGCAAAACCAAAGTGATCACACCTTAACTGTCAGCAACATTGTGAAAGAAAACTACTGTATGTCTGCACAACTGCAGCAGGAAGGGTAGGTCAAAATTAAACCCTCAGAGAGGGTTCTCTAACCTAGGTGTTTGTTAACTACCTGCCTGAATGTCTGACTGCTGACAGTAAGGTTGCCATGTTCTCAGATGTCAGCAGTTGCATTAGTACTTACCAACAGGAGCAATTGCCAGAACTATGAAAATAATTGTTGTATGAAACTGGAATTTTCCTTTAATGACATTTGGCAACATGTAAAGAAGCTATATTCTGAAAGGTCTACGGTCAGTTTCTTGGTGCAGATATGCAGTACATGTTTGGAACATGGCACATTAGTCTGGAGAATGTATCTCCCTGTGTTAAGAAGATGAATATAAAGCTGCTGCATTAAGCATGCCATGTGAAAGTTGTAGGAACAATAAACTCAAACAGGGAACCTCCACATTTTCGGTCAGTCAAAAGGGACAATGTTAAAAGGGGGTTGTAAGAAAAACAGATGCAAATGCTCCCTACCCATTTATTGGATAGGCACGGTCAATTCAGGAAACAATCAAGTTACTGTAGCAACACATTGCCTGCTCGGTGTCAAGCCATTGATTCTGAGAGGCGTCGTGACCCAGGTAAAGATTATCAAATCAATGCCAAAGGGAATATGAGACCCCTGCAGTTCTTCAAAGTGTATGTATTGATTTCTGTTGTTGTTTACTTGCGTTTATGTGTGTGTATTCTTTTTGTGCATGTGTGTGTACTTGCATGACACAGATACAAGACAGCGCTGGGTGAGACCATACAGACAGACACCCTGTTTTCTAGCTGTTCTTTGCGTGGCCTGGAGGAGGCACTGTTCTGTCAGACTGGACAAGCGGGCTCTGCACCAGCAGCAGCAACAGGGACCAGCAGTTACAGCAACACTTCAAGTACCTGGGATGGATACTGGGAACACAATGAACCCTTAAGAGATGTGGACGAAGTGGCTATTCCCGTTTTGAGCGTGTGTGCGCAGGATGACCCTGTCCGTGGTGACACACTATCCACCGTACCCTTCGAGCTCTTTGAGACAAACCCACATTTTTTTCTCCTCTTAACTGAGCATGGAGGTCACTGTGGATTCACCACCCAGTCTGATGGGAGTACCACTGGTGCACTGGGTGAAGTCGGTTCTGCAGTTGCACCAAACAGCGGGATGGGGAGTCATGGGACAAACTGGAGCCACAGAGCTCTGTTGGAATTCTTCAGGGCAACCACAGCCTTCTTCACTGCTGAGGAGAGAGTGAAGCAGCTTGCTGCAAGGAGGAGGGGGCTGGGAGGGGGCGCAGGAGGCAGGGTTTTCCGCCATCGCAGTGTCAGCACATGTAAACAAGTGCCGGCATGTTCCCATAATATTCATGCTATTTACAATTGTCAGAGGTCCTATACACGATGAGGGAGTGTAGTGGAAAGTAATGGACTATATGGTAACTGTGCTTTCTGATATTGCTTGGGTTTGGGTTGAGAAGGACTCAGCTTGTTCACATGAAGCAAGTCATTTTAAGGCCCTCGAGTCTGCTTTGAAATTTGAACTATAAATAAAGAAAAATAAAAGCTGACTGCCTGTGTGGCACTTAGCTCATGGGCAGGGCCATCGAGTGGCCAGCAGTGGCACTGGCCAATCCCAGAATCTGATTGGCCACCTCCCTACCAGAGTCAAAATGTGACGCTTGAATGAATGTAAAATTAAAAACAATGACAAATTGTTGTGCTTTATAATTGATATTGGTCAAATTAATTTGATTTTATGTCATGCATGCAGCATGATATTTGCTTTAATTTCTCTGACTGTATTGTTGTGGAGTACTTGACATGATTTGTCTCATTGGGAGGAACCACTGTGCAGCAGCGATGTCCCTGGCTGGGAGTAAATAAGGAGCACAGCCAAAGTTAGCTAGAGAAAGCACTATGTGTGTCTCACTTTTACACAGAACAATTTGATTGTTAATGATGTATGGCTTGTTATTTTATAGAATTAGGGGTTTAATTTACCTTTCAATATGTATTTCAAATGTGCTATCTCTCTCTCTCTCTCTCTCTCTCTCTCTCTCTCTCTCTCTCTCTGAGTCTGCCCCAGCCTGGCCACCCTGTCCAAAATTCTCTAGATCCACCCAAAGCATTAAGACAGCCAAAACTAGAAAAGTGCAGAAGATGTAAAATACTTATGTTCATTTTTAAAGCACCTCAGCTAATTTTATTAATGAAAACTATGAAGAAAAATATTCATTGATGATCTATTTTTCACAATGAAAACAAAACTAAAACTAAATAAAAAGTAACATTTGATAATGAGAACTATGACAAAATGTTTTACTTTTTTGTCAATGAATAAAAAGTAAACAATAATGGACAAATGGACATGAAGTGACTTAATGACCTGCCACATCTGTAGGTGCTGATCAGTAAAACAGTTTCCTCCACCAGCCAAAATACCCCTTGTTCAGAAGCTAAATTAGATGCTTGATGAGTTTCACATTCATTAACATTCTGGCTATGGCATTAGCGCTTCCAGGAAGAAACTGGTTTATGAATCATATTCATCTACAAAGATGTGACAACACACACAAACTGCTGGGACACATTGGGAAAATGCAGCAGCACGCCATATGAAGCAGGAGGATACTTTAACATGAAACGCTTTGGGTGTAGATGTAACATTAATGTCCCTTTCAGTCAGATATCTTTTGTGTTGCTATCAGTCAGTTCCAGGATCAATATAGACAGTCAGCTATAATCCATTTCTAAACATTTGCCGCAGAGATGTCACTATTTTAATGACGATTTAGCATCACCTCTCATGCTGAACCCACTGAAGGGGATTTTAGTACAAATGTGAGTCCAACTTTTGCAGAGCAAAGGGCCATTGTGTGAATAAATAAACAACAAAGTTTTCCACAAATCACACAATAGACAGGAAGAAGATGATATAGTCTACAGTTAATATTTAAAATGCTGTTTAAAAATGACTAAAACTAACAAAAATCAAAAGGACTAAAGTGTGACTACAACTAATATGCATTTTCATCAAAAGACTAAAACGTGTTTTCATTGTACAGGGAAACACGTTTCCTACCTGCATATGACAAATAAACACTTTGACCTTTAAAATGAAATGAAATTCAGGTGTCAAAATTAACACTGCCTCACAGTAAAGTTGTGATCTGTGGTCTTGTCAGACCCCTGCTGAGCCGATACCCATACACATTCCCTATTATAGCACAGTCCCCACAGACTTTTCATGCTCTGTGTATGTGTGTGTGGTCTTGTTTGTCTAAACTTGTTCAGACCAAAATGTGAGAGTTACAATTTTCTCTGGGACCAGAAGTCACATGTGGGAACTGGAGGTTTCCCCACAACATATTATGTTGAATTTTACAAAAATGGTGCAGTGTAAAAGATAGAGCAAGTGCTGGTTTTGTTAATGTTAGAGTAAATCTCCCCAAAATGAATGCAAGTCAATGAGGGACCCAGTAAGATGAAAACAGGGATGTGTGTGTGTGTGTGTGTGTGTGTGCGCGCCCTTGGCATTACTTACATCGTGGGGACTGATGCCTGTTAACACACTGACATTGTGGGGACTTGGCCTTCCTCATGGGGACCAGAGGCTGGTCCCCCACCATGTAAATGACTGAATTTTAGGGTGACAACATGGTTTAAGGTTAGGGTTAAGTTAAGGTTAGGGTCAGTCAAGTAGTGGTTATGGTTAAGGTTAGGATAAGTCTCTAGAAAATGAATGTAAGTCAATGTAAAGTCCCCATGAGAAATGAAAACACACTTGTGAGTGTGTCATTCACTGCAGTGTTTGTCTGTCCACTGAGCCTTATCTAGTCAGACAGCAAGAACACAGCAGTGTACATAAGACACACACAAAATGTGTGCTGGCAGGCACATTGTCAACATGCATCCTCACCATCAGATACACACACACAGAGCCACAGAAAGACACACAGAAAAATGCTCACACGTGCATAAACATACACAGATTTGCAAACAAGCAGTCACATACATGCAGGATGTTCTTATACACAAGATTGACAGTCTCATACAAAACAAAAACTGCATTTGACACACACATACTACAAAGATGATCACGTGTACATGTAAAAGTGTTATCAGTCCAGTACCTGGCTCATCAAGAACTCAACAGAAAGTATCTTGAAAACATTATTTTGCATAAGTGTTGGTAGAAAAAAGATTTATTTTCCCACATTTGTATTTAGAATACACTGTAAGTAGTCGAGAAACCTGCACCAGAGCCAGAGACGTGTCTCAGTGAAGGGCAGCAGAAGCGTTTCACTCTTTGCAGAATACACTTGCACAAAATAGCAAAACATGCATCTGTCTTATCAATGACCTGTACAAATTGACATTTCATTAGTGTTTTACATCTGTTACATTTATATTTTTGATGTGCTTTATAAACAATTTTAAATATTAAAATTCACTGCCTCATTAAATACTCTATGTTGTACTGTTGGCAAGTGAAGCCTCTGCTCTCATTGCAGATCTTATCACTGGTGTCATAAATTATGTGCTTTCTCTTAACAATGAGCACACAGATGTCTACCCAACATAAAACTAGTTTGTATACATACTGTGCAGTGAATCTTATCTAATGAGTTAAAAAAATACACTATTGTTTTTATTTGTGCATTTCTATCACCAAAACATTTGCAGTGAATTTCCTTTTTGGGTCTCCAATCAGAAAATGTTGTTAAAAGTGGATACTTATCAGACAAAAATGGTAAACATGTCATTAGAAAGGCAAGTGTGTGGTGCTTTATTTCTGAAAATATAATGGGGTGGCAAAAGAGCATACATAATAGAGGGGAGGCATGCAAAACAAAAAAGGGTTTTGCTGACATTAAGCCTGGTAATTTATGACTAAAAGTACACACTGTTGCTGAACAATAAATGCTGGTTTTCATTGGCCTCTACCAAATTAAGCCAATAAGACTGAATTGCCCGTTCCCACTTTGCCAACTCAATTTAGATCCAATAGTCTGCCTCTGTGATCAAAGACTGATTTAATTGAATTGATGAATATTTAATTAACAAAGGACATTTCCATGACTTTGATTATACTAAATCATTGGTTCTCAAATTTGTGGCACACACTGTAGGGACTATGTATTTTTTGTCAATCAAAATCTGAATCAGTTTAACACTCAGTGGTTTTGTTGTGATAAGCTTACTTGGTCCAGTATGACCAATAGTACTTGGTTTCTAATGTTGATAAAATATTGCTGTGTAACCATGAGCTAGTTTGTTGGTGTTATGACTGTCTTCAACCTGTGCTACACACACAGTTTTGCATTTGCCATTATCCTACAATTGTTGCTAAACAATCTGATTTTGTGATTCCTTGCAGAGAATTGGATAAAACATTTGTGGTTTTATGTGCAGGACTGTTTTTTAGCAGCATCAATTTTCTGGAGTCTCTCCCACAGAGACAACTAGCATCCATAAAGCACAATATCCCAGCAAATAAGCCGCAATGTGTTGTTAGGTTGTTGTACAGATTGAACAACATTTAATGATTTAGTCAGTGAACTTTAGAGACCGGTAGGCAAATTTTGCTACCTTTAGACAAAGCCAGGTTAGCTGTATCGAAATGTTTCCAGTCTTTATGCTAAGCTAAGAGATAAGATGGCTATACTGTAGGCTACTATTTGGTGTACAGACATGATATATGCCAGCCTAGAGTATCAGTCTAACTCTTGGCAAGAAAGTGAATAAGCATATTTTTCCAAAATGTCAAACTATTCCATTAATGTATTTATACAGTGGATAAACTATGGACTTTTCAAACAATAAAGTGCCACAGTATTGAGTCCTAAAACCCAGAACTAAGTTAGCCATTTTTGCACTTCTGGTTCCCTCACCCTGAAGTCAGTGAGTTTTTGAATGGGTTTCTAGTTAGATGCCTGAAATAAGGTCTGTGGTTAACACAAGGCCGGTACATTTTCACATTCTGTTCTATGACAAAATATGTCAGTAAATACCCAACTCATGATTTTTAAGTGTCTTAAAAAGGACCGTTGTCAACAAGTGGCTAAATGAGACTACAGAGGCTGCCAGTCGGAGACTCGTCTACTCACTAGCCCGACTTTACAGCCTCATTGTGTTTGAATTCGCACACATGCAAACTATTCTAACTGACAGAGCCATGGTCACTAGCTAGATCAGGTCACGCTAAGAGGAAAGGAATTAATAGAAGAGGTAAGCGCGCTAAATCAAATCACAAGTTTGAAGTCGTGGTGGTGACGCTGAAGTCATGGGACCGTGGTGTAGTTTGTTTATAACTTAACAATAACTTTTTACTTCTGGGAATTGTATTTGAGCTTCAAAAATCATAAAAGTGGTCTTTGCCTGTGAAGATTATCTTGCCAAACAAAACATGCAAGTGTCATAAACTGTTGTTTGTCACAGAGCTTATTTTCTGCAATAATCCAAAAGCCTATGGAAAAATCCCACTGGCTTTTTGTAGAGGGAACCAGGGTGATGCTAACTTCTGGGTTGGCCTATGCCATCCCTGCAGCACTTTCTATTTTATGCAGCACAATAGACTGAAAACAGAGCCGTGTCTTCTCTGAATGTTGTTGTAGAGTCTACAATGAGAACTTACTGTGGCGTAGA